CTGTCCTCCAGATTTCTTCGCACAATTTAGTGAGTACATCCAGGGCAGCATCTTTTTGTTGAAATATGTCAGTTGGTATACTGTTAAGTCCTGGAGTCTTGCTTTTAGCCAATTCTTTCAGAGCAACTTGAACTTCCTCCTTCATCACCACAGGCTCTTGCTCATATGTTATTTCATGAAATTCTTCAGTGTCAGCCAATTCCTTCTGGTGAAATGACTCTGTTTGCTCCTTCCATCTTCTTTTAATGCTTCTTGGATCATTTAACACTCTTCGCAAAGCATCCTTAACACGTTGCCGCACACTTTTTAAATTGACGGCTGTGCTTAGGAACACATTTGCCGTCATTTGCGGTAACGTATTAAGTATTGTCACTTGTGGCTTGAATTTTTCAACTCCTTCAGCTTAAGAAACGCTGAGCGAGTTCGGCCCTTTTGATTTTCTGCCTCCAGCTCTTTGCATATTTCATTATAGTATCTTTCTTTGTCGTCCTGAGCTGCCCTTTGAAATTTTCTGTTCAGCTCTTTAATTTCTTGATTTCTTCCTTTAGCTTTGGCATCTCGGCACTCTAATGAAATATTCAGAATCTCATCTGACATCCTTCTTGGTCTTTTCTTTCTCTTCAGCCTTTGTAATGATCTTTCGCATTCTTCATGGACGATATTCTTGATATCCTCCCACAAATCATTTGATCTACGCTCGTGATTAGCATGTTTATTTCCATGTCTTGAATTTATTTGATCTTGGAATTTTTATGGTGCATCAGTTTAACATGTTCTGGTACACCAGTGTTATGCTACAGACTGGTAAAAGCTTATGTACTGGGGGTATAAAAACACAGCTAAACCAGCCGTGGGTGCTGTTCCATATTTTTGTTCTTAATAGTTTTTGTGCTGTAAGCCAGTGGACTAATCTCTCCAAGCTCCATGATTACATTTAACTTGTACTGTTATTTTGAACGTTACATGAAATAATACAATGGAAGTTCAGACACTGTGGCCATTCCCTATCAATCTCATCCTCATATTCCTTGTCACATCTTCTTCTTCTTCCTCATCAGTAGAGGTCCTCTGCTGGCATCAACGTTCCTCCCATGCTTCTTTTCCCGTGCAGGATCACCAGCCATGCGACAACTTCCTCCGGCCTCTGCGCCTTACTCACAACTCAACCATATTTCTGGTAATGGTTCTGTTCACATTTGTCCTGAATCTGTTTGATTTCAGAAACTCCTTCAGTCCTTTTCAGTGAAATCTACTTATAACGCACCCTTAGATAAATGAGTGTGGATTGATTCAGTGACTGGGGTAATCGGGATGCATGTGTCAGAGGCAGTGTGATAGGGACAGGATAGAGCAGGGTTTAGGGCTGTTGTACACAGGGTCGCTATGAGTCACAAGCGACTCGACAGCACATAACAACAACAACAATCCCTGTTTCTGTTTACAATTTATTAGATAACTGACAAAAGAGAAAGAAAACTCTTTCTCATACACATAGTACACAAAGTAGAGATAATACCAATTAAAAAAATATTCCTGGCAGGTGCTGACTTCTCATTTTTGGGTGATTTTTGAAACACACATGGGCAAGGTGTATAGCCCAACTACAAATGGCACAAATAGACTAAAGACAGCAACGACAATCACCAATATGCAGCAGCAAAATACAGGACTTTTTCATTTGGGATTTTTGAACAGTTCTTAAATGGTTTTTTAAATGCTTTTTAAAACGGTTTTTAAATGCTTCCCAAGGAGTTGTCAGGATTTAGAAATTGTATGGAATAAATTAGTGTCACAAATATTTTACATTACACATAAGGATGGATACAATTTTATTATTAGAAAATCAGTTTCTTCCCACCCTTGCTCAAAAATAAAAGGTTGATGAAATATTTAAAGAATGATTTGATTGGGTGCCAAATTATTAGCCATCCTGTCGGTGCCACTGTTTCTCATCTGCCTCTGCATGTGGAGGAGTGACAGGGAATGAAGCTACTGAGATCAACAGAGGACAAATAACTCGCAGACCATATCAACAGAAAATACCAAATTTCTCTTGAATGCCGTTAGAAGCTGTGGAAAGGATTGGCAGAAAGAATAGTATAATTAAAAGCAAGAAATCCATGTAGGGGGTTGCTAACATAGTCCAAGTTTGAAACAATGAAGGGTTAAACTAATTGGTGCTGGTGGAAATGAAGAGGCTGTTGGACAGACATTTTTTGTTAAGAGGCAGGTGCCACATGACTTAGTGAATGATTGGGTGTGGAGGATAAGGTAGAGGTAGAGATCGAGAATGACTTAGTCATCCATTCATTCCCCAAATCTAATCTATTTGTGCCAGAAACTGCTGAAGTTTAGGAATTCAAAAGGGGAGTAAAACACAGGTGGTTGTTGTTTTTTAATTCAAGTAAAATAAGTAGAAACACATATAAACAGTTAAATGGTAGTATGATTGCCCTCAACTGCTCATCTAGGAGTTCTAACCCACTCAGTGACCCTGTAGGAGAAAGGTCTGGTCATGTGCTTGCATAAAGATCAGTGAGAAAACCCTGTGGAATAGTTCTTCATTGTAACACATGAGGTTGGCAGGGGTTGAGATTGATTCAGTAGGCAGTGTTTTGGTTTAGTCTGGTAAGAGACACCCAAGATGGTGGAAAAGACAACCCTGAAGGGCAAATATAGTTTCAGAGGTTCCTATGGATTAGACAAGGCTCTTGTTAGGTTGCAGCACAGTTGAGCTTCTCTTTCTTCCTGCTCTTGCTCCCTTCCACCTACTTCAAGGGGTATTCCAAGGGTGCACCTTAGTAAATATCCATTCAAGAGCTAATTTCTTACTGAACCCAGCCTACAGTTGTGACCTGTCCTTGGAGAAGGACATCATGCTCGGAAGGGTGGAGGGACAGTGCAGGAGAGGAAGACCTCGGATGAGACAAAATGATACAGTATCTGGAGCATTGCAGGTTGGTGTGTCGGAATTAGTGAGACTGGCTCAGGACAGGGAAGGGTTCAACAACAACAACATACTATAATGGGTTGTTTGTTTTTGTTTTTTTTTTAAGCCTCTTGTTTAGAATTAACAAGACCTCGGGGAGGGCTTTTGTATTTAAAAGACTGTTACTGTATTTTGGAGGAACATTATTCTAAGTGGTACAGCACTCTTCTGTGAATATGCTCTATTGAAGTAACATGTGGTTGCTGTGATGCTGAACCTTTTGCCATTGGGGTGTCAAATGTCATAACTGTTAACCATAGTGGAGAGTGTTTGTTAGAGCTCCTAGTTTAAGACAGGTTTTGAGGCAGGAGTAGCATTCACTTCCTAAACAACATGTCCCTGGAACTCTATGAACTTTGTTAAATGGCGATTGTTCTAGAGAGGCTTCAGGCCTTTAGTTCATAGGGTTACTATGAGTCATGCTTGGCTCAACAACAATCAACAACAGTGAATGTAAATTGAATTGATGAATCTTGTTCATCTTAGTTTTGCTACTGACTATGAAAATAATCTTCCTTTGATCTTTGTGAGGGTGTGATAGGTCATGTGCTATGATTGGAGAATTAACTATTAGGTATGCAAATACAGGCATAAATTAATACCTGGATTCTCTTATTATTAAACCATGTTCATCCTTGAGGATGCCTCAGAAGAACTGCCATGAGGGGAAAATACTTGGCTTTTAAGAGATCACTAAAACAATTTGAAAATAAAATAATAAAATGAATAACATTAAATATATATAATAAACTGATAATGTATAATAATATCTATCCATCCATCCTGCTCTCTATACCTTTCTATCGATCTATCTATCCCCCCTCCCTTGTCTCTCTTTTTCATTCTTTATATCAATCTTATCTCTCTATCTCTCTCTATCTCTATATCTATCTATCTATCTATCGATCGATCGATCAGTTTAACCTGGACAGGGTGAAACCAGGCTGCTCCTTAGAGGTAAGGATTTTGAAGCTCCTTCTGACATACTTTGGGTCTGTTGCAAGGAGGAACCAGTCCTTTGAGAGGGATATTAAGCTTGGAAGGGTGGAGGGGACGGCACAAGAGAGGGAAAAACCTGGACGAGATGGATTGACTCAGTGACTAGGGTAATGAGGCAGGTGTGTCAGACAATGATGTTGGCTCAAGATAGAGTGGGGCCAGGGCTGTTGTACATAGGGTTGCTATGAGTTGCAAGAAACTCAACAGGCATATAACAACATCATATAATATATAATATCTATCTAATGCAAGAAACTTTTTAAAACATTGTATAAAGTGAATCAACTCAGCACACCACATAAAATTTTAGCCTCTCACTTCTTAGTTTTGCTCTTTGTAGAAAAAGACCTTTCCTTTTTTTATTTTTATCACACTATAATAACTAGATTGATACTGCAGATTACCACTTCCTAGAACACGAACAGTTGTTAAATGTAATTGATTTGAAAGGAAAAAATTGTTGCTTTCATTTGAAATTCATTTTTGTCTATGGGCAGGTCTCTACTGGTTCAACAGACCTGAGTGGATGAGAAATTGTACTCAACCAATTGTTTGTTCTTATCCAAACATTTGTTTATTAATTAACAAAACTCTGGATTCTCTTAGATTTTATGGCATTCTAGAGATGGTGTTATCTGTTAGCCATGTAACTTCTTAAGAGCTTTCTTGTTATGAATCAATTTTGGGTTTTTTACTTAAAACTTGAGGAAACATCAAATTTAAATATATTGATATTTTGTAGTGCTTTCTCTTTTTTTTGACAGTTTTATAACTATCTGACAATCAGCTGTTAGTTTTCATCCACATTGACGGTCTGTAGATTTTTGAAAGTGGTGACAGGTACATAGGTAACCAGTGTATCCAGCTTGTTTGGGGAATCTTCATCCTCATTACGTTTTCTGGACAACCGTACACGGATGCGGTATGGGACATTCCTTATTCCTTCGGCCCAGACAGCTTTGTTAAGCCTGGTGTCAATGCGAACATCTGGTGTTCCCATCTCCTTCATGGCAAATTTCCGGATCTCCTTTAGTGCTCGAGGAGCACGCTTCTTAAATCCCACTCCAGGGATGCGCTTGTGAATGTTGATGGTGTACTCTCTGGTCACCACTTCGTTGATGGCAGAACGGCCTTTCTTCTTCTCACCACCCTTCTTTGCGGGGGCCATAGCGCCGGAACCAGGCGGGGAAGCTGTAGTGCTTTCTATACTTAGAGTTCGCTAAGTAAAAGAATCACCTCACAATTGAACAGAAACCCATAGTCAAACTAAAAAGAAACTAGTAGCTTCTCATTTTATTTGTTCAAAGTGCAATTTCCCTCTGCTCCCAACACAATTTACTAAATAAATACAGTCTAATTACCTGTCAAAAATGTATTTTTTTTATAATACAGAGATTTTTCTACCATTTAGTGATTATCTGGAACCTGGCCAAGTAGGAATCATATACCAACTACTGAATATCGCACTCAAAGTCTCCTTAAACACAAGAGGCTTAGGGAGCGTTGAAACATAAACCTATTAGGGCTCAATAGCAATCTGCTTCAAGCATTTGTTTCAAACGCACAAAGCTGGTTTTTTACCTTATCAAAGTAAATATATTATTTGTGTTATTTCAAAGCATTATTTAATGAATGTCTGTAGTCCAGGACATACTGTCTAAATCGACACACTGATCCAGCCCTGTATTAGGAATGCACTTGTTTAATTGACAGAAGGCAAAATAAAGGCCCAGATGCTCACATATTTTCAGGAAACTCTGACACTGAGATGCCATTAATGAAGGTCATTTTGAGAAAGCCTAAATGTGAAACTATCAAACATGTGTTTGAAAAATCATGACTGAACTTCTGTTGATTTCAAAATGGAAAAAAAAAAACCCACCCATCAGTTCTCAGGGTTTGTGGTAAATTGTGTCATTTACTCCTGTTACTCATCTGTATGTCCATTTTGCTGCAGTGTCCTCACAAATGAAAATTTGAGTTGTTGAACAATTTATGTACAAACTAAGGAAGCACACTGCCAGACCCTGTGCTGTCCTCATGGTCTGTGCCATGCTCAAGCTGGTTGTTGGCAGTCACTGTGCCAAGCTGTCTTCCTGAAGGTCGTTGTCTTTTTTCTTACCCTCTACTTTACCAAGCATGAGATTCTTTTCCAAAGGCTGGTCCTTCCTGATAGCAAGTCCAAAGTATTAGAGACAAAGCCTCGCTATCCTCCCCTCGAAGAGACATTCAGACTGCACTTCCAAAACAGATTTGTTTGTGCTTTTGGCAGTCCATGGTATAGTCAGTGTTCTTAATCAACACAATTTAAAGAGACCATTCTTTTTCAGCCTTCCTTATTCAATGTCTGACTTTCAAGAAGTTTGAGCAAGGAATTGTGATTTACCATGAATAATTGGTAAATGTAACAGCTCCAAATACAGGCCTCAAGAGATTTACGTTTCAACTTGTTCTTGGACCCCTGCCACTGCCAGAGGAACAAAAATGCTCAGAATAGGCCACTGAATACAAAAGGAGGCATGTGAAAAGTTGTGACATGAATTCTGTTGTCAAGAGTGGGGAAAAAAAGGGTGAATACCAGATTTATAGAACATTATACAGATGTCACCAGTCAGTGATTTTATTTCCCTCTGTTTATCTAAATAGCCTTAACTCTAAAATCAAGCTATATGCATTAAGATAAGAAAATTGAGAGGACTTAAGCCAACTAAATACTTCTGCAGCTGGTTTTTGGGAGCTCTGGTGGCTTAGTGGTAAATACTTGCACTGCCAATCCTATAGCAGGTAGTTTGAATGTACCAGCTGCTTCAGGGGAGAAAGATGGGCAATCTCCTAACCACTGGAGGGTCAGCAATGAATTGGTTCTGACTCAACAGTACATAACAGCAAGAAGAAATCTTACAGCTAGTGTGATTACTCTGTGATTAATATTAAACACCTTTCTGGTTTCAAGAAGCAGTATTTGCTCTTTTCCCCCCTCTCACACTTTAAGCTACTCAGTTATTTGTATTTACATAGTGGTGGTGGTGGTATGTGCCCTTGAGTCAATTAAAATTCATAGCAGGCCTGTGAACAAGAGCTCTGAACCTTGCCCTATCCTGAGCCACACACTTGAACCCATTGCCGCAATCACTGCCTCAATCCATCTCATTCATAGTCTTCCTCTCCTATGCTGACCCTCTACCCTTCCAAACATGATGTCCTTCTCCAAGGACTGGTTTCTCCTGGAAACATGCCCTAAAGTATGAGAGACAGAACTTTGAAATTGCTGCCGTCAAGGAGCAAACTGCTTTCTCCATCTCTAGGAAAGACCCATTTGTTCTCTTGGCAATCCATGGTATATTCATGTTCAATATTCTTCTCTAGCACCATATCCCAAAGGCATCAATTCTTCATCTGTCATCCTACTCACTATCGAGCTTTCAGATATAAAACAAGCAATTGACCATGACCTGGATTGGGTACATCATAGTCTCTAGAATGATATCATTGCTCCTTAGTACTCTGGAGAGATCTTTCAGTGCACCTTGTTTTTTGAGTTCCTAACTGCTGGTACCAAGGGTGTTGATTGTGGATTTGAAGAAGATGAAATTGTTAACAACTTCAACCTTTTCTTCATCTATCATGATGTTGCCTGTTGGCCCAGTGGTGAGGATCTTTGTTTTCTTTTCTTTTTAATTTTCATATTTATTTGATAAACAGATTTATTATTTTTTAATGGTTACATAATATTCCGGGGGGAAAGATATGCATCTTGCTTTATTTACCTGTTCACATATTATCAACCAATAGTTTTTGTTTCTTTTTTATGTTTATAAATACTGTTACATGGGTATCTGACAATAAAATATTTCATGTGTGTATGCAAGTTATCCTTGACAGTACCATCAGACAGCAGTTCTGCTCAAAGGATAAAATTCAACTCCCACGAACAAGCTTATTTATCCGTACTTTTTCTAAGCTAGGCCATAACTAAACAGTTGTGAATCTGATGGATAAAAAATTATAAAATCATGTTCTTTATATTTCTGTCTCCTTCACAGTGAGGTGGAACATAATGTCCTATGATTGTTTATCGTCAGTATTTGTTTAGATAGTTATTTCCTCTGGATTGAGTCTCACTGAGATTCTTGAATCTGAAAAATCATATATTTGATTCATCCTTGAGAGGGTGAGGTCAGGCTACTCCCTGGAGGCGAGGATTCTGAAGCTTCATTTGAAATACTTTGGGCATGTTGCAAGGAGGGACCAGTCCTTGGAGAGAGACCTCATGTTTGGACTGGTGGAGGGACACTGCAAGACATGAAGACCTTCGATGAGATAGATTGACTCAGTGACTGGAGTAATGAGAATAGGTTTGTCAAAAACAATAAGGTTGGCACAGGATAGAGCATGTTTCAGGGCTATTGTACATAGAGGGTCACTATGAGTTGTAAGCAACTCAATGGCACATAACAACAACAACAAAATAAACTGTGAAACATTCCATGCTTATAGGTTTTAAGTCTGTTTTAATACTTTTATCATGAAAGATTAAGATGGATTTATTGTTCACCACTACCTCATACAATAGATAAAATGAGCCCAAAATCTAGGATACTACACCTTCTAGAAGAAAATATTTATGACCTTAGGCTAGGCACGTTCTTAGATGTGGCACTAAATTAATAATCTATGAAAGAAAATATTGATAAATTGTTGTTATGTACCATCAAGTTGCTTGCGACTCATAGCGACCCTATGTACAACAGCGCTAAACTCTGCTCTGTCCTGTGCCAATCTCACTGTCTCCTATACACCCATCCTGATTAACCCAGTCACTGAATCAATCCACCTCATAGAGGGCCTTCCCCTCCTGCACCGTTTCTCTACCCTCCCAAGCATGATGTCCCTCTCCAAGGACCGGTCCCTCTTTACAACATGTCCAAAGTATGTCAGCCGAAGCCTCAGGATCCATTGATAAATTGGACATCATAAAAATAAAAGTTTTGAGACAGAATGCAGAGCAGCTGTGAGATGGGCTTGAGAACTGGAATTTGAGTAAGGTCCCTGCACTTGCTCAATTGGGAAGAGATTGCACGCACCTCAGCTCAGCTTGCATCTGCACGTGTACCAGGCATCTCCAGCACCACTCAAAATCCCTAGCTCTAAGACAGATGCAAATAAAAACAAGTATGAGATATCATCTCACCCCAGTAAGAATAGCAGGATTCAACCAGCAAACAGGAAATGCCAGTGAGGTTGTGGAGAGACTGGAACCCTTATTCACTGTTGGTGGGAGTGTAAAATGGTGCAAGCACTATGGAACGCAGTATGGCACTTTCTCAAAAAGTTGGAAATAGAAATGCCATTTGATCCAGCAATTCCACTACTGGGAATATACCCTAAAGAAACCAGAACTGCCACCCAAGTAGATATATGATCACTCATATTTACTGTGGCTTTGTTCACAATAACAAAGAGTTGGAAACCACCCAAGTAAGTGCCCATCAAGAAATGGATGGATAGAGAAGCTGTGGTATATTCACACAATGGAATACTAGGCTGCATTTAAAAAACAAGGATCTCATGCAATATTCAACAAAATGGGTGACCCTGGAGGACATTACGGTGAGTGAAATAACTCTGTCGCTAAAGGACAAATAATGCATAGGGCCACTGTTGTAAAACGGGACTGACATTGGGAATGAGGGGAACTTAAGAGGGGATAAATAATGTATACTGCATTGAAACAGATGAAGGAGATAACTTTTTAAAAGGAATATATGATTAGGTATTATTTTCATGACGAAAGTCCAGAACTAAGGCTGCATAATGGAATGGACCTGGGGGGAGGGATTGTAAAACAATGAGAGAATTTTTTTTTCTTCAAAGAGAAAAGCGAACTCTGGGGAAGGGTGGTAGGGAGGAAAGTGTGCAACAGTGTATGATTTCAAATCCAAAGTCTCTGTAAACTTTCATTAAAGTGAAAAACGTTTTTATGCTTCAAAGGTCATCATTAAGAAAATTAAAATCTATAGAGTAGGAGAGTAATATTTTCAAGTCATATGTTTGAAAAGGACTAGTATATAGAATTAAAGAACTCTTAGAACTTAATTTGAAGAGAGCAATAACCCACTTTAGAAATGATCAAAATACTTGGATACTTCATCATAGAAGATGAAGAAA